TGATTTTTTTTTTTTTTTTTTTACGTTGTTGTTTATGTGTCTGGTGACTATATTCGCGGTAAAGTACTTATATGCAATAATAAAAAAGTAAATTAAAAAAAAATACATACAGGTATACTGTACTTCACTGTTGTTATTTTATCGGAGTTTCCTGTTTGTTACTTCTTTTTAAGAAGCATTGGCAATTAAATAATAGCATTTATGTTACTACATTAGCACTTTAGAAACATATGATCAATTATGATATGCTTATATAAAATTATTACGTTCTTCTTTCTCTAATAAAATTATATTACAATAAATGAAAAAGAAAATGCTTTCAAGTAAAAATCCACTAAATAAATTATTTTAATATATTATATTAAATTAAATACGTCATGTATTACATGGCAAAAAAATTTTGTGTCAGCCTAGATTAATCAAATCTTCGAAATTTTAAAAAAGGATAATTCTTTGAAAAAGTGAACGTGATAATGTAACAAAGAGATTTATCGTGCGTGACAAAGAACAAAGAGATTGATTTTAATGATGAATTCCCGAAATAAAAAAAAAATAAATGTTCGTAACGAATAATAATTAAAATAGAATGTAATCAAATATTTTATATAATAAATATATTTAATAATTATTGGATAGATCTTTTTTTTTTCGACTGATATCTCTATTCCCCTCATGAGTTATAGTAGTTCATATACTGCGGTGACCAATAGTATTAATGCTACTAATAATAATTTCAATATTGGATGTTATTTAAAAGTATCGGTCGTTTACCTTAACGTAATTGTCGCTTGTGGGAATGTAATTTTGGTTTATTAGGAAAGAAATAATTATTTAAAAATCAAAATATATTTCAAATTATTACTTTATTAAAATCTCGCATATTATCTAATTGACTGAAAAATAACTATTGTTAAGACTTAGTGAGAACTATGCGAATTTTATATATTAATCCCTTTTCACCTTTATTGACGTTAAAACTGATTGGTATCTTCGTTAAAAATATGAAATTTCGGTGTAAATAGTAAGTTGAAAATATTGAAATTTTGGTATAAATAATAAGTTGGAAATATGAAATTTGGTGTAAATAATAAATAATAAGTATTGAACTAATTATTATTGTTATATTCACTTCAATTTAGTTTTTTGAATGTTCGATATGTGCGTTCGTGAGTATGATATGTCTTCCCATTTGTATGTATTAAATGGTACTAAATACAGTATCCGTTAAGTCATAGTTCGGATGTAACCGTATTAATTATCGGATTAACCCGTTAAAAATCGGTTAATTTAACAACCGACCGTTTAATTAACGGCTAAATCGGTTAATTTAATTAACCGGTTTCTCTCCAATTCGAATAACATGTGCACAGTAGAAAATATGCAGCATACTCGACATCACCACTTAAGATTAAAAAAAAAAAAAATACTTTCTTCTCTTCTCTCGTGATTTTTTCTATTATTGTAAATATTCTTTCTTACTTTACATTTTAAATCTTCTTTTTAGATTTTTTACCTTATAACTTCTGTTTAAAATATATTATTGTGTCAAATATATCAAATTATAATATTTCCTACAAGTCTAGTTAAAATCTCAAAAAGTATTTTCTCAAGGTGAGTATTTTGCAAGTTATATGACTCATAATATTCTTCCTTTACATAATTATTCTAATTTTTCATATTGTCTACAATGATCTCATTCTGAAGATCATGGAATATTGTAATTGAGTTGTGACAGTCGTGAACAGTTATTTATTAGTTTTATATCTATTTTTTTCTCAGTCTCATTGTTAAGTGGAGTACCTCTAACTTATGTTTATACTACCATTTTTCAGACCGGGAAAATATTGACCGTAATAATGAAATCACAACCGCTGAACATAAAACAAATCAATGTTCTATTGTATTAGTCACTTCTAATTATTAGATAAGCGTTGGGAATAGAAGCGCTTCGTGGCCACAGTATGTGA